AAAGAGCTTATTTCTCTTTCTTATCGATAGAAATAAAGCACTAACGACACACACTTGACTGAGATAATAAGCACTAGCATAAAGAGTTAGCTTAGAAAATAAACAATCTGCAATATCTAACAAACTACATATTTGAATGAAGACTGAAGCTTTGTAAAATCAAAGGGCGACTACAAGAAATATATTTTGTGACTAAATGAAGCAGAACAAATCGACCTGAAAACTTTAAACATGGCTAAGAAATAATGATGTCTGCCATGAAATATTATTGCAACCTGAGCAGCATCATATACAAAAGAAAATTGCACAATATAATGATGTTTATTTAAGTGGTGCAATAGATAACCAGTTTGATAGTGTTTTTAGTTTTTATTCTAATTTTTAGTAATATTCTTGCAAACTAGTTTTATCCTTTTCTTACCTACAAGCATGTCAGCAGTTTGTAATTGTAAACACTTTTTATATTCAAATGATGTCATGTATTCGAAACAGGATATTTAAGGGGGTTGGCAATTTTGCATTTCTAATAGGAAGGTGTATTTTTCAAGTGAACTCAACGGTATTGTATCAAGTTGTACGAGTGTAGTACATATTATGATGAGAACATACACACAGAAAAGACTTGAATTGAGTATGAAATTGTTTACAAAATGTACATGGTAACATAAATATGGCGTGATATTTTTTCTGCTGGGTGAATGCAATATAGTGTAAGTGTTTTTCATTTTTCATTTTTCTTCATACAGCTAATTTAGACATATGGCATATTCTCTATTATAGAAGGGCAATTTAGGAAAACATTATAATAAAAGCGGCGTGACAAATAAAATAAAATAAGATGATTAACACACAAAAGATGAAGAAGATCTATTTCTCTCATCGGTATTGAAAAGTATTCCTTTAAATACATTGATTGATTGATGAACAGCGGCATATGTAATTTATCTGGGGCCCATTTGTATTCCCTTCACTTGATATCTTTTGTCTGTGGACTGCTGTTCTTATCGACAGGGCCTAAATGCATGCTATCGATGGGAAGCTTTTGTTTCAAAAGACAATGACAGAAAGAGGTTAAGGCCAGACGAGACAGACAGATGGTTGATTTTTTTTTAAAGCAAGGAAATGAGGAAAGAGAAAGGGTGTCATCCACAGAGAGAGAGAGAAGGAGAGAATGTGAAAGGAGAATTAGAGAAGAGCAGGGGAGGAGACAGAAGAGAAATAGAGAGATGGAGAGATAGAAAGAAAGAGAAAGAGAGAGAGAGGGAGAGAGAGAGAGAGTTGCTTGAAGAGACGAGAGATAATGAGTAAAACATTTGTTCAGGTGTGCAAGTATATGTGTGTGTGAGAGAGGGGGAGAGAGAGAAGGGGGAGAGAGAAAGAGAGGGGGAGGGTGAGAGAGAGAGAGAGAGACAGAGAGAGAGAGAGAGAGAGAAAGAGAGGGGGTGGGAGGGAGAGGGAGAGAAAGAGAGAGACAGAAAGACAGACAGAGGGGGAGGGAGAGGGAGAGGCCGGAGAGTTAAAAAGAGAGGAAAGCAGTTAAATTATTGTACAGGCAGCAGAACAGGACAAAATAATGCAATAATGAAATATATGTAATAGGAATCGAAGACCAAAATGGAATCAAATGTTAATGTGTACAATGATATATTACAAACATTGCAAATTAGATAGGAAATAATTATTCAATTGTGGATTGATTAAAAAAAATGTTGTTGGAGGGTGGGGGATTTAGCAAACATGCATGACAGTTGACAGTAATAAGATGTTAATGTCACCAAGACATGAAATAAAACGTCAACAAAAAATATCATAATGCATAATAGTGTACATGAATTGTATGATTTGTTTGTCAAATAAACATTATTGGGTGTTGGGAAATATATCATGGAATTAATGTGTCATGATTACATTTCAAATTACGTTTCAATTTATTTAAAAAAATCATAGCATAAGTATATAGTCAATAACGAATGTGTCAGTACATACATATTGTTTGATGATGATTGATGAAGGTAGTGGTGAGTAGACAAATATTTTTTTTAAATTCAATCACACATGCAAGGTTTAAATGGAGTATTGAAGAAAAAAATGTAGCTTGAACGAACGGAGAGGGAGGTAGATGAATAGACAGTGAAAGATAGGGAAAAAGCATAAAAGGTTGAAGGGTGTACAGAAGACAATGTCATGTTAGAATTATTTTTTGTTTTTGTTTAAAGTATATGATTTAGAATTAAATTTTTAATTGTTATTGAAGTTAAGAGATTTGATGACAGTTATGACAATAACATGGAATAATAATTGAACAATTTAATGACAAAAAGAATGAGCAAAATTAATTTGAAATTGGCAGGAGGGGAGGTACAGATGGTGCAAATCATAAAAGTACAGTAAGATTCAATCAATGGTAGCATGAGAGGAGAAGAGATAAAAGGAGAGAAGTCGGGAGAAAAGAGAAATAAAAACAACGTAAATCATGAGAAACAGAGCATTATATCAAGCCAAGACAGCAACAATGAACACTTGAATTTTACAATAATATATATATTATATTATATATTATATATTTTGTATAAAAGCTGCGCTATATAAATTTATTATTATCATTATAACAAAAAAATGTCAGAACTTTTATAAAGATGGTCATGGATATATTCTTTTTTTCTTTTTTTTAGGGGGGGGGGGGGGTCGAGTTGGAGCGGGTCATAATGTCATTAAGAGAGGAATTGGTGGGTACCGTCATTTCAGGTTCAATTATGAATAGCACATGACTAAAGAGTGATATACAATAAAGGTGTACCATGCAAATGAAAGGAGATAACAGATTATTTTCCATAATTTGCTGAGGAGACTGGCTAATCAAGGATGCCCTCTATAGACCAAAGACAATATAGCCAACATTTCAAGATTTTTACTGCATTCCAAAATATTTGGAGAAACAACTAGCTATGTTTACAGGAATTTTGAACTATTCCGCCTGCATTCAGATTGTGCCATAATAAGAAATAAAACCCTAAATGAATGATTATATTTATATCAAATATACAAGGAAATGAAGTTGATACATGCTTATAACCAAATGGATCCTAGCTATTCATTAATCCAAGCAAGGCGAAATAATGTTTAAGGTATAGACTTTATGTATCGAGGATATGAAGTCCATAATTACTCAAATGCTGAAAATCATTCAATAAGTTACAGAAAGGAGGTAAATTTCAAAATCTTCACCTAGAGTAAAACAATATACATGTTTAATGATTTTGTTTCCCCTTCAATTAGTGCGAATCATTAATGTATTTCCTTTTCTATTGATCTCTAGAATGATCATTTTGCAACGATTAAACAAAAATGAATAATAGTGTAAAGATAAAACTAGAACTTTTATTTAACAACTACCAATTCCCCCAAAATAATGTGCTTGTTCTTTTTCCTTCATATGGCAACGATATTTACATCTTTAATCTTTTACTCTGACATCCATTGTTCTCTACACAAAAAAATAGATCTCTGTGTTATAATAGCCATAATGAATAAAACTTGACACTATATTCATACTTAGGAAGAGTATTCAAATCATATAACAAAATACATCTTATTTACAACCAACATAAAATGATTTTGGATAAATTTAGTAAAGGTTACTGATATCTATTTGTATACACACCTCATTAATAACTGATTGTCATTATAATAACTGCTTTAATCTTTTTTATATTTACAAATAATAACAGTCAAAGCTCTTCACAGGAAATCTTTTTATATTGATTTACGTCAAATGATTTATCCGCAGCTTAATCAAAGAGACGAAACATTCAAATGTATTATCCTTGCCCCTTCAGGCATTCATTTTTGAGACAAAACAATGAATTCATAGACTAAACTTTGTGCGATTCAGGAAGACAGTTTGCATCTATAATCCAATTACCTTCATCACTGCACACACACACACACACACACATAATTTTTTGTTTAATTTCTAAATGTTAGATTCAGTTCATATACAGACTATGGTATCATACATGTATAGTCTTTATTCCCTGTAAATTGAAGCTGTAAATTTAGAGCCACTTTAGTATGTGTTACATGTACATATGTATTAATATATTTGTGAGAAACGTCAACTATGGCAATGAAATGTTGTTCTTTTTGTCTCTCAAAGAGGGTTACGAGTTCATTCATTGGAGGTGATTTCAGTTTCATTTAACACTAATTCCAATAGGTTTTATCCACATTTATCAAAGTTCTAGTATTGTAAAGGTTAAAAAATAGAATTAAGAAAAAGACATATAATATACTCTATTGAGCTGCTCACTCTTTCAGTTAGTGTGTGTGACAAAACAAGGCAGAGTTATGAACTACTATAGGTGCAACTTTGGAAGACAACATTGCAACTGAACAAATATATTCTATCCATAACAAAACAAGTACTATTATTCATCGAAGCACACAGCAGACATTAAAAACACACACTTCTTGAAAAGTGGAAGACAAAAAATGAAGTCTGGATAACCATGACAATTACTGAAGACAAGATTATTTCACATTTTACACATGTAGTTGGATGCTTGAAAAAGTTTGTTCTGTGTTGAAATCTATGACTTGTCACAAAAGTTAAAGCTAAACTTTAGTACTGGTAATGCGATTGCATTGTGAAAGAAAAGGTGTGAAAGGATCAGAAACAGTTGATCATGTAGCATGTAAGTATTGGTGTGCACTGCAAGGTGCTGGAGTCATCAAAATCATAATAAATTTGACCGAGTCTTGGTAAAGTAACAAACACTCACATAGAAAGCTATATATGGGACAACACACATGGTGTCGGGGATGGTACTACCTTGGTTTCCTTGTCTTTCTATGCTCATTACTCAGCCAGTATACTTTTTCTTCCAAAATTGTTTGGCACATGTCATTTATTTGTAATCTTGAACATTCAGTGTAAGTTTCGTTTGATTCTGTGAGAATTATTTTTTTTTTTTTACCAGTACTGGAGTTTATCTTTAAGAAAAGTATTTCTAGTGAACAACAGAGGGCACTATGCAACTTTGCATTCATATGATCATTGATGCTGTTGAGTCTGCCTCCTGTCGCATTCAAATCAATTTTTAACCCCATGAAAGACATTTCCATGTTCCTGTAAATCCATATAACATGAGATTTTATATGCTAACTGTAACAAATTATGTCAAATTTGATGATGGTTTAATCTAAAATGTGTGAACATCCAGAAAAAGCAGTCTACACTTAACCTGAGAAACACAAATTTCCTAAACTTTTTTCATTCATTAGTATTACCGGTAGTCAGCTATCATTACGTATTATCCACCACTCTTTAAAAGGTAATATTTAACACTTAGACAAGCTTATTCTTGTATTTGAAGTAATCATTAATCTTTTTTAGAATATATATATCTATATCAGGATATACTGCAGGAATAGAAACACATCTAGAATCAACAATAGTAGTAATTTCGTAAGAATTCCATGATTGCTATCAATCTACCGTAAATGTACACTGCATCTCAGCACCCTTTCAAATTGATTTCCTCATAGGATATTTTCAAAATTGAACTCGTACATTTGACAATCAGTGTAATATCCAGTAACTTTTAGAATTTGCTTTCTTTTTCATTACCTAGAACTCAACACTCAACACAAATGTTTAAACAACATTTTTTAACGCCCCACTGCACTAGTTTGGCCTAGTCATCTCAGAGCCACCAAAAGGGCATCACCTCGTATTCAACCCGTCATGAACGTAATAAACATCCTTCTGGCTCTCGAACATGCATTATAGAAACCTAAGCATGAACTATCAAGAAACACCCAAACACAACCATCACCCCAACCACCATCAGCAATATCTCCTCTTCACTCGGTGTCTGTGTATTTGGTTGTAACTGCCCGTATGAATCGGACATCTTTCCCAAGATCTTTTCTTCTAGAGAATTTGATATTGTATGATCATCGCTTCTACTAACATCATTCACAGTTTGATCTCCTGTCTTACGGCTACGTGCATAGTTAGATACATCTTTATTGCTCTGATTGTTATTGCTATCGTTAGTAGACACAAGAGATGCAACACTGACATTCACGGTGTTAGGGTCAACTACGGTGTTACTAACTGTACACAATGGTGTTAATTGGGTGTTCTCAGACTGCAAGGCATTTTCTACTGATCTTACACTCTTTTCTACACTTTCTACGTTGGAGGTTTTACTATCTCTCCCTCCCTCTTCCTCTACCTCCTCTTCCCTTTCCTCTACAATACTATCTACAATACGTCGACCACTAGTGCCATCATAATCATCAGTCGACACCGGTGCTTCATCACAAGGTGTTAGTGTCAAGGAAGCCTGTTGTTAGAGTGCAGTCACATTACACCAAACACCAACACCACCACCACCACCCAGATGAGCGTAAAGTTTAAAGCCACAGCAGTCATTGCGAAGCAGAATAATATATACATTTGTAATAATTTAATATTTTTAGAAGATGTTTTGCGGAGAGATGCAAGGAGCGAGAGAGCCGTGTGCGTGAGCGAGCCAGGAGCAAATCATAAGTGATGGTGTGAGAAAATATAAAAGAAACAAAACAAAAACAGAATAAATGTAACTATCAAATAATGTATAACTCAAAAAAAATAAAAATAAAAAATAAACATGTTATATGAACGGAAGTGACATTAGGAACATTTTCTGAATTCGGTGAAAAATTAAAATGGCAATATAATGAATGAAATGATATTATCAACCAAGATGATTATCAAAATGAAAGATACCTCATACCACAAGAAAGAGAATGAATTCTATGTTAAATTATCATTTTACTGAAATAAAAAATATCTGAGCATTGGAATAATTCTAATAATATCATTTTGTCTTCAATTTTGTCTTTGTTGTAATACAAGGACATTTTAATTATTTGATTTGAGTAAGGAATTTATTTTGAATATACATATATGTCGCATTGTTAGGTATGTAAAGTCTTTCAAAGAAAAAAGAAATCCACAGCCTGTCAGTGAGTGACCAGCCAATTGACTGGTACAACATCACTTTAATTGTTAGTCTATTTGGTGTTTTCTTTGACTATATGTAACAACATCCTGCAATATCACTATTACCTTAACTCCTAAGAAAGTTTGGGACCTTGGCAAATCCAAATTTACATTTTTGAAATACATGTATGTGTTGGCAATCCTATTTCATTTTGTTTTTAATTCCCGTCATAGTTGGGTTGTGACATGTAACTCCAAACTGAAATTGAATTGTATCACACAGCTATACTGAGACCCACATACTGAAATCCATCTCGAGTGTATTGGAACAAAACAAATAAAACATAAAACTGAGATGAAAGGAAGAGAACATCTGAACGAAAAGGTATGAAATGAAGCATTTTCAACAAATAATGGCAAGCAAAGGAATAAGCAAGCAAGCATTTATTTCTTTAATGTGGTATTATTATGCAGTATGATACATGCACATGCATTGCAGTTGAATAGCAGAGCTAATTTTAAAAAAAATTTCTTTGTTATGACAGCAAGCTGCTAAATAAGTTACTGTCATGATTTGTGCATGCATTTTACCCCAAATAAAATATTGCTATAGTTGAGTGATTATACTGGCACATTGACATTCTTATCATAAGATGATCATGGCATAACCATCAAACTAATTTGCGATCTGCAGGTAAATATACCTGCTTGAGCATCCTCGAATATGCTCTCTTCTAGGTGATCAATCATTTACTGCCTGTGCATCAAGATTGTGGAATGGTCTTCCCCAAATCCTTCACTCTTGTCACTAGTTGTCCACTTTCAGAACTCAAGTTAAACCTATTTCAAATTGCTTACAATTAGTCACTGCTTTTTTGTCTTTCCCAGTTAGAATCATAAACAGACATTTTTGGTAGTTTTTCAGTCTCATCAGCGCCTTTGATTAGGCAACTAGATATTTGCGCTAAATAAAAGCCTGGATTGGATTGGATAATGTTTCGTTTAGATTCCCTTTCTCCTCCAACTCTAATGGACACTAATTCACTATAAGTTAAGCTAGAAATGTTTTGATATAAACTGCAGACATTCACCTTTAATAAATGAGAATTTAAAAAAATGTCAACAAGTACTTTCATATTTGAAAAGAACAAGTGTTGCTGCCATCTCCTGTTGACAATGTTATAGTCAGTTCAGTCTTTCTCCCATTTCACTTTTTTGTAAACCCAAATACAGTACTTTGAAAAATGAAGAGAACCAGAGTGAAGTGGTACTTCCTTCTAAAGCTGACAATAAAAATGTATCAAGTTTGAACAACAACTCGTTTGACAATGACGTCATGAAATAAGTGAACTGCATTTATGCTGCAGTTTGTAAATGAAGCTTTATGGTCCATTTCAGAAGAAATGATAGCCATTTTCATGTTAAACTCTACATATACACCTGCATACCCTTATATGACATTAGATGCACAAAGAACCAATTTCACATGTATCCTTAACCAGTTTTCCAGAGACTCCAGCTACATTTATCTCAGGCAAAACAGGTTAAACGGGGCAATTCACAACCTGAAGTTTATAATCTGATGAAGCAAACCAAATTACCCAATAACACGCATATTACGAGCATGAGGGATCCTTATTTCATGATGCATGGATATCACTAATCTAGGGTGGGCTATGAGGCAACCGGTTCCCCATCATTTCATTTTTCCAGTGTTAGTTTACGTTCAACAACAGCCTGGAAGAGCAAGAGGCCTATATTTTCGCTTTTCATTACCCCTGCTTTCTTCCCCAACTGTATTAAAAAAAATAGACACTGAAATCTCAAGAGCATCTTGTTATGGTGAGTTACAGTACATGTACATTTATATCGCGCAAATATACATAAATAAGATTATATATCCACGGGGATGCTTGAGGTCCTTACAAAGTATTAGCCAAGCTTTCCTATAAAGGCGCTGAAGCATTATTACCAGGCCCCCATCTTATAAAGAGTTGCGCACTTGATCCAAATCAATTGCAAGTTCTCCAACCAATCGCAGGTTTGCAGTCTTGATATCAATTGCCAATAAGTTGCGATTTATATTAACTCTTTACAAGACGGGGTCCAAATATCCATTTAATACACCAGTGTCACAAGTGGCAATTGCGCGTAATCGCCTGGGAACTCATCATAAAAACCGATTGCAAATGCACAATATGTATGGACGGCAAGCGGTTTGACTCATACCCATCTGAGATAGTAAAGATAATTCCTAACCAAGAGCTTTTGAATGCATTGAAAACATGACATACCTTCTTTCTCAGAACTCTGATACGGCTCTAAACGAAAGAAAGCGGATGGTTTGAAACAATTACAAAGAGCAGGTCGGGCAAATTGTGACAATGATGACAATGATGATGGGTGTTTTTTTTTTATATTGTTCTTATGAAAATATACTTTCTTTGGTGAGGGTTCCACGATGCAAGTGGACTGGGGCAATGCATGAATGTACAAACAATGGTCATTGTGTCACAGGAAGGTTTCAAACAACAACATTAAAACATAAACAACAAAGACAGATACATTCAATGTAAACCAAAACACGATATCTACATGTTACCACTCACCTCCCCCTCCCCCTCCCCTCTCTGCCTCCCCCTCCCCTCTCTGCCCCCCCCCCTCTTCAACAACCACAAGAAGGCCCCTCAATCATTAAAATATTTTTTTCCATCAGGAACCTATTTGCACTTCATCTGGGTAGAGAGTAGGGAATGCAGATTAAGGCTTTGCAAAGAGAAGATAGTCCTGTGACAGGGCTTTGACCCCTGACCCTTGTGGTCCACAGGCAACTGACCTGATGTATATATCTACATACTAGACCATCACACCTCTACTGTACACACTTGAACAAAAAACTACATGTATTTCCCATTTGGAAGCCTGTCATGATGGTTAAACCTGGCTGCTAAGTATGCTTAACGTTCTGTCCAAAAACTTGGCCATCATGCCTTACCGAAAGGCACCAGGCGTTGTTCAATGTTCATGAAATAGACACACACATTTAACAATAATTCATTGCTCTTAAAGAGTGGGAGTAAAAAATAAATCCTTGTGCCAATTTCTCACTAGTCAAAAAGGTCTTAAACTATTTTCTCAATGCCATGGAAACTCCCTATTACATCATACGTCCTTGCAATGTTGTATCACGATAATGACTAAATGGAGACATACAAGTATGCCACGACAAAGAGGCAGACCGAATTGCTAGTCGAGCCAATTATTAATTGCTCTATCCTAATCATGTTGGCTCAAATGTGACAGTAGTAGTTAAAGGCATCGTTTAACAATGTTAAATCTGTGATGCATGGCCCTACATGTACATGTTTTCAGTGTCTGTGACATGATGTAATATTGAAGCCCTACAAAAATTGCGCTTCAAAATGATCAAGAAGTGCCTCAAAAAGAAAAAAAATTTGAGTGACCGGCTTTACTATACTCATTTCCCCCATGAGACTGTAGTGTTATAAAAACCGTTGAGGAAAACGGCTTTTGAAATTTCAATTTCCATTCATAAATATCTTGATAATCAGACAGGTGATCTGCTTGTAAAAGTCATGGGATTCCTGACTGACCTAAAGGTTTATAATTATGACTGCAGCATGAGCTAAATCCAGGATTTTGTTTAGAATCTGAGGCAAAGATACCCAATCCCTTTTAAATAAAGGAAGTTACCGTCTGTTTGGAACCAGAATAAGGGTATTAGGTCATATAATTTACACAGAGTTAGTGCCCTATGGCTCCTAACAGATGTTATGTTTGTTGCATCACATGCCCTATCACTTTATTCTGGATAAGATATTCGGCCTGGACAAATGCAAAGTGCAAATACAGAATATATGTACATAACAGTATACAGCACATTACCAACCCATAGAGTACTTACATGTAGTATATAGAACATAGTCAACAGTAAACTGTTTTAACACAAAAATCAGGGGATTGAAGGGAGAAACAACCACAGAATATCGTCAAGGTCACTTCAACAGAAAGACGACCATAAGTTGTTAGACAAAACAACGAAGTACAGCACCACAATGTATGTACATTTACATTTGACTACCGGTATACATGTACAGTATTATGCACGTACGATACAAATGTATATCTGTGATAAATACAATGTATTGCAGATCATGCAAAATATGCTATATGTGATGTTTTATTTCATTCTTTATGACTCATGATTTACAGCATACTGTAGGTGGCTAACCAAGTTGGTCCAGTAAGAAAAAGTCCTTCAGTTAGATCTAAATGATTATCCAGAAGTTCACATAGAAGGATACATCATATTTCTAGTGTGCTTTAACACAGCTGGAAACTGGCACCTCCCCCACCCCCCACCCCCCCCCCCCCCCAAAAAAAAAAAAAAAAAAAAAAATTAAAAAAAAAAAAAAAAATTGTATTCTTTCAAATGCTGCTTGAATTTAACTTTTTCATTTTTTGGCCTGCAAATGTGACATTGCACCTTACAGTTTCACCAAGCTTGATAGACTATGGAAGATAATGAAATACCAACTCACCCCGTTGACATCCACTGTTGTGCTAGCGCTTCTTAGTCTGGCATTCTTGGAGAGTTTATTGCATATCGATACCACTTTCATTGATTGCTGAATAGAAGAAAGGGAGAGAGAAATATAACTGTAAATTGGCCTTGTGTCAGACTATATCACCATGTAGATGTATAGAATGTAATTATTGATAGCATTGCCTTTTTTTGTTTATATTGCGCAATTACAAACAGTAGCCAGTTAATGTATCGACTTATGAATGTTAACAGCTGGTCATAACAGCAGTCCATGTAAGGAGAGTCCCGAATAGGTTAATCAAAATGGTTCGCTGCTGCTCAGATGATGTTATGTATCATAATTTTGGGGGTTGAGAACTATTCACCAAATAATTGGACCCAGGCTATCGTGGTATTTGACCCCGGCCCCCCCTCACTCAGTGTTATTTAGGGTACGCATATGCGTGTTCCCAGCAACCCCCCCCCCCCCCCTTTTCAGCAAAATTCTGATGTGTAAAGTCAATACGGGTAGACCTTTTTCTTTTGTTACGAGCCGGAGAGTTTGGGAACGTGCATGGTATCCCTCCGTTCACGGAGTGGGGGGGTACATGCCGTAAAAAATGGGTGACCATATAATGTACATGGAACCAACCAAGGTTATACGAGGTAGCATTTAGCTTTGGACCAGGTGTATGAACAACTGCATAAGATGAGTAATGAGTGTTGGACTATCATACGGTTGGACTACATTAGATAAACTAGCCTAGATTTGGACTACAGATCTAGGACTTAAAAAAACACAAGTCCTAGCCTATCTTGCATTTAGGATTCGTTAACAAAAAAAAGTGATCAGGGATTATGAAACCGATAGATGGTTATAGTGGACACTGTAGCTTTGGGTTGGTGTGTGGACCATGATAAAGACTTGGTCCTGGTCTATTTAAGCTAGTCTACCTTCCATCTCTTCTTAGCGTTGAACTTCCTCAGGTTCTCCAATTTGAGATGTGAGGTCTGTCTCTGCACCTTCTGCTTCTTGCTTCGAGGCTGCAATGGAACGAAAATGCAAAAAAGGAAAGACATTATTTGAAAAATGAATCAATTTGTCAGTATATCCAACTTAAATCATCTTTCCATAATGCTATTATATTCTAATCATCTGTGAACTGGCAGCTTAACGTATATTGAAGATGAAATTATGTTATCATTATCAATTAAAAAGAAAACCCTTGGAGAAAAAAAAATGCCTCTGTGAGTCACTACATGTATATACCAAAGGTCTCTATTTTTAGTCAGTTTTGATAAAGATAAACAATTGTAGACAAAATGAGCCAAATATTTATCTAAGTCCTATCAAATATCCAGTATCTATTTTCAAGAAAATCAGCTTCTCTATGACAAGACAAGCAAGTTTATCCATTTAATGATGAAGCTTAATGTCCTTAGTATACACATGCACTGATTCTTTTGATACAACAAGCAGATGTATTTATTTGAAAGAGAATCAGCTTCTCTATGACAAGACAAACAAGTTTATCCCTTATTAAAATAATGCAGCTAAATGTCATTAGTACAGTACATGTGCACTGTATCTTTAAAAACAGTAGTAGTATTTACATTCAAAGTACGAGGATTCAAGTTTAAAATGTAACTGTTTCACCACTTCATTCTCATCTTATGATTTAGGCTAACTTTTGATGACAAAAGATTTTTTTCTTCACATAAGGGGTGCATGTAAAAAATAATCCACCATTCATTGATAAGTGCATGCAGTTCACCTCAACATATGTATGACTAGGCTTGCCAAATCATCGTTATGATTCAAGAATAAATCTAGATACTGGATCAAGAGGTATAACAGATTCTAAGGTTGAACTTTCTTGTATCTTTTTTAACCTTACGTCTAATTAACACCCAAGGTTATAAATTCAATTAAGAGTTAGAATAAAGAGGGTAAACCAGTTTAACGTTTATCTACAGGTGCGTATGTACTCATATGACTAGACCTGCTCTTAACCTCAATAATTTTCTTTGCAAGTGTTGGATCGGCAAGCAGTAAGTTTCACAATTAAATTTCTTTTTCTATTCAAATGCGCCTTTGATTTTCACCAGTTTTCATTTCTTAATAACGGCAAATTTAATGTACATGTACTTGGGGCTTCAAGAGATAAAACGTAGGGGGAAGTAGTCATATGCATTGTTTGAGTGATCTGTCTCTTTTAATTTAGAGGTCTTTTAAAGTGTAAGCCATTAAGAATGACCCCATTATGACTACCCTGCCTGGTAATCCTGTAATCCAAAAACAAATCTCCTAGACAAGTGTACTGTGAGATGAAGTTTTTTCGATTTTCTGTTCAGATTATTTTTTAGTGAGAATTGTTTATCTTGTTCATAGCGTGCTGATGAGAACAAGCTTCAAGGAATATAAGGAACAAACCATTTTTTTAAAATTTCTCTTAATTCCCCCCCCCCCTCTCTCTCTCTCTCTCTCTCTCTCTCTCTCTCTCTCTCTCTCTCTCTCTCCTCCTCCTCCTCCTCCTCCTCCTCCTCCTCCTCCTCCTCCTCCTCCTCCTCCTCCTCCTCCTCCTCCTCCTCCTCCTCCTCCTCCTCCTCCTCCTCCTCCTCCTCCTCCTCCTCCTCCTCCTCCTCCTCCTCCTCCTCCTCCTCCTCCTCCTCCTCCTCCTCCTCCTCCTCCTCCTCCTCCTCCTCCCTCTATTCCTTCCCCCTCCCGCCCTCTTCACCCTTCTCCTTATTCCATTCGGTGTTCCCCTCCTCCTTCCTTTATACCTCTTCTCCTTTCTCCCCTACCTCCCCCTCCCTTACCCTATTCTCCTTTGTCCCCTACCTCCCCCTCCCCTCGCAGCTGCTCCTTTAATAAAAACTGGGTTTTCCCTCCTTAATCCAAAGAAAAATCACCAAAACCAGCATTAAGTTTGGAGGAATCAAGTTTCCCTGTGCCTGTTTCACCATTTCTGTTTAGCCTAATCCTACAACCACACCCTATATTTGTAAAAGTGAGTTCACTTTGGACAGATGATCTTCTGTATCATTTAAATGACGAAGCAACCGTTTCAATCAACAGTCCAACAAATGTATGGATGTATCAAATAATGGACACAATTAATCAAGACATCCTTTTGGGTGGTTGTCCGTTTTGTGGTGAACATTTCAGATCTAAATATATTTGTGATCAAGGTAAGCCACAATGCTAACAGCTGTAAAGTTGTTTTTTTCTTCTTCTTGAAATTGTATTTCTTGAAGAGGGAGAGATGAGCACTCGATCGAAGTGAAAATCTTTGAAATCCCTCAGACAAACTTTTGTTTTCTTTTATTGACTTGACTTGACTTAAATTTAAAGATAAACTTTAGTACTGGTAATGCGATTGCATTGTGAAAGAAAAGGTGTGGAAAGGATCAGAAACAGTTGATCATGTAGCATGTAAGTATTGGTGTGCACTGCAAGGTTCTGGAGTCATCAAAATCATAATAAATTTGACCGAGTCTTGGTAAAGTAACAAGCACTCACATAGAAAGCTATATATGGGACAACACACATGGTGTCGGGGCTAGTACTACCTTGATTTCCTTGTCTTTCTATGCTCATTTCTCAGCCAGTATACACTTTCTTCCAAAATTGTTTGGCACATGTCATTTATTTGTAATCTTGAACATTCAGTGTAAGTTTCGTTTGATTCTGTGAGAATTATTTTTTTTTTTTTACCAGTACTGGAGTTTATCTTTAATTTATTGTCAGAACTTCACATGTTGCGAAGTATAGATGTTATCTTCTTGTACATACATGTACATCATTAAGGTGATAATGTATTTCAGTATTGGTGTTATGTGTTAGCAACTAAAATTGCTTCTTTCATTTCTCTTCTTTTTTTCACTCTTGGAAATATTTATTGTTGCTATTTATGAAAACTATTGAGGGTGTATGATAGATATAAAGTCTTAAAGGTCAAACAAAGCTTTGGGAAATTTTTAAAATTCGGTGGATAGGGATTCTATACAATTTGATATGTTTGGATGACCCTGTGAATGTAATATAAGCACAAGAAAATTTAGCCCCTATAACACTTTTGCTTTTGAGAAAAATTGAATATAAAATTTACTGGTGCTCCTGGTAAATTTTGATGACTTTCAAATAGCGCCTACGGCCGTACAATGGTAGCTGCGACCATGACAATCTCAGAATATGTAGTTGTGATATATTATTTCCAAACAGGAATAGCTAATTGGTCGATTTTAGTCAAGAAACGATGTTTTATAGCTTAATTCATATCTTGACCATGAGAGGGAACTATACAACATAAAGAGTTTATTATTTACAATTTCATAACGTTAGACTTGATTTCAACTGCGACAACGATCACTGAATATTGTAGGATCGCATATGCTTCCAAATGACCCCATACCCAAACTTTGTATTACCTTTAATGGCCCTTTAGGCTTGAGTACCTATCCACATTTTATCCCTAACTCGTGATACTATGAATACCAAGATCTTACCATTATCCACGGATGTGATAGGCACTGGTCAACAGTTGCACGTTTCCTGATTAAAAAAGAAACAAACAAAACAAAAAAGTTTAATATGAGGGTTAAATAGCACAGCAATAAACAGTGTGAAACTATCACTATCAAACATATCTAAGATTGCACAGATAAAACATACATGTACATATGGAGTGTGATAGCTTCATGTTATTTTTACATATAGATTCTTCTGATTTCCTATGGCCCATGGGTGTCGATACTTACGTAATACCTATTCATCAGGGGGGGATGAATGAATAGATCATCCCCCCCTGATGAATAGGTATCAGTTACGTATCGACACCCATGCTATGGCCACACTTTCTGATGAAAACCAGCCCTAAAAACCACAATGAGCGGACACCTTTCTCTAGAGGAAATAAATGCCAGATTTTTCCCCTGACCATCATGGTAATCTAAAACAAGAGGATGAGAACGTTTCCTCCAATTATATCCTGCCCAGGGGCTACAGTTGATAAAAGAAAAAAAATGTATAAGCTTAATAAGATAAAAAGGTAGTTGTACTCCTGATGTAGATACAATGTAGGTCTATTCACACACGAATGAAAGATGAGATTCAAATTGCGATTCAAATAGCGATTCAATCTCAAGGGGAGACAGGGGCTATTTACACATGGGATACACGTATAGAAAATATGCTTTGTTAGCTTCTGCTGAGCTTGGGTATTAATTAACACATGGTGCATTACCAATAATTATTATCATTGATTCTTCAGACAAATAAAAAAGAAGTTGGTGAAATGTTTAATGTGATTTAATTTTCACAGTAACATTCTAAAAAGTCTTCATTACATGGAATTTTGATCAAACTCACAAAATGTTATGTGTGTGAACAGCCCTCATATTTGGTTGCTTGGACATATCTTTTTTTAGAGGGATAGAGTGCTGACTTGAATAAATGATGGTATTGATGATGATAAGAGTGTGCAGCCACAAAGAAAAAGAGGAGAAAGAGATGGAGGACATGATGGAATGATGGAATGAAGAACAGAGTGAGAGTCACAGACACAGAGACAGAACGATAGAAATGGAGAATGATAAAGAGAGGGATGTAGAGCTAGAGGGGAATGGATAGGGAGGGCGGCTGCCTGTTTCATATACAGTGAAGCCTGTATATAAAGACCGCTCAAGGGAAACTTGAAAAGTGGTCTTTATAGACAGGTGGTCTTCAAGTACAGGTTCCTTTAGACAAGGTTTCGAAGAGAAACCATATTTAAATGAAACAAAAAAAATTGTCTTTATAGACAGGTGGTTGCTCTATACAGGTGGTCGATAAAGCAGGTTTGACTGTACTATTGAGAGTCACAAAGTCATTTTGTAACTTCAAATACAGAAGGGCATTTATAACTCCCTTTGTGTTAAAGTAATTGAGTTAAAGCCATTCTTGCTCCAAACACACTATATTCAGTTTTTAATGAATATGAATCAAAAACATTCTAGCTTTCAGCAAAGGGTAACAAAAAATAGCAATGGAAAAGGAAACAGAAAATTTTGGAATAGAAACCTTGGGTCTTTGAGGAGCAGGTGATCGATGAAGTCTTTGGCAAGCTCGCTGGTGGAAGAAAAGAAGTCGTCATCCTCGAAGGAGTAGTTGATGGCCGTTACATTCTCGTACGTCTCTTGTTGATCATCCCCTAGGAATGGTGACAGTCCGCTCAGTCTGAAAGGGGGAGAAGAAGGAAGAAATTGATTTACTTTAATAGCATTATTCATAATGGAGACATTGGAATCAATATTCAGGGCAGGGTGTGGTAATATTCTTATGACTAGTGAGGTTGAGGGGGAGGGGGCGGAGGGTGGGGGAGATTCAGTCTGATAGATAAAAATGAAGAGATGAACTCAATTCAATTTCCAAAGAAATTGATATTGATTACTCTTGAGGATAGGCAGGGGTTGACTAGAATTCTTCTGACATAGAAGAAAGAAGACTCAGTTTGAAAAGGGGAGAAGGAAAAGGGAAATTGATTTAATAGCATCATTCTTAAAGACTTTGGAATCAATATTCAGGGAAGGGTGGAGGAATATTCTTACGACTGATGAGGTTGGAAGAGAGAAATTTACTTTAGCATCATTCATAATGGAGACATTGGAATCAATATTCAGGGAGGGGTGGAGTAATATTCTTATGACTGGTGATGTTGAGGGGGCAGGGGGCGGGGGAGATTCAGTATGATAGGATGAAAGTGAAGAGATAAACTCAATTCAATTTCTAAAGAAATTGATATTAAATACTCTTGAGGATAGGCAGGGGTTGACTAGAAGTCTTCTTACATAGAAGAAGGAAGACTCAGTTTGAAAAGGGGAGAAGGAAAAGGGAAATTGATTTAATAGCATCATTCATGATAAAGACATTGGAATCAATATTCAGGGAAGGGTGGAGTAATATTCTTATGACTGGTGACGTTGGCTTGTCGGGGGGGGGGGGGGGGATTCAGTCTGATAGAATGAAAGTGAAGAGATAAACTCAATTCAATTTCCATGATTCCCCATTTTAAAGAAATTGATATTAATAACTCTAGAGGGTAGGTAGGGGTTGACTAGAATTCTTTTGACACAGAAGAAGGAAGACTCAGTTTGAAAAGGGGAGAAGGAAGAGAGAAATTGAATTAATTTACCATTTTTAACTCATTTCAAAATTACTCTCCATAGTACGAGGAATGTGGAATAAAGAAGGAAGAGAGAATTTCAACTCATTTAAAAATTATTCTTCATGGTACAAGAGAGGGGCGGAGTACCTTGATATCCTGACAACAAAAAGTAAGAAAAGACAATCTTACGGTTGACAATCCTTTAACCATGAAATTGACTACATTCAATCATGCAATGCCCTAAATGTTCATTGTTATAAAGTGTACATGGTTTTTGTTTTCTTCTTCCTCTCTTCAAGATGAGAATGCCGATAGAGTTGATTGCTTTATATTTGGCAGATTTTAAAGGCATCATTAAATCTGAGATGCACGGCCCTACCGTGTTACCAGTGTCTGTAATATGGTGTAATATTGAAGCCCTAGACTAATTGCGGTTCAAAATGAACAAGAAGTGCCTCAAAAGAGTAAAAATCTTTGAGTGACCGGTTTTACCACACTCATTTTCCCCAATAGACTGTAGTGTTATGAAAACCTTTAGGAAACCCCAATTTTGGTTTTGATTTCCAATCACAAATATCTTGATAATCAGACAGGCGATCGGCTTGTAAAAGTCATGGGGTTCCTGACTGACCCAAAGGTTTATAATTATCATTGCAGCATGAGCTAATTAAATCCAGGATTTTGTTTCAGAATCTGAGACAATTGTTACCAGATTCCTTTAAGTAGTATTCATGTTTCCATAGTTACCTTGGTCTATTTACATAAACCAGGCACTACAAAGTAATCTAACTAGTAATCCCTATACAAATGATCATTAAAAAGAAGGGGAATAAGATAGGAGAGATTAACATTGCATGTGTACTACAAAACAAAAGGAGGAATAATAACAAAATGCATGGCAATTAGGGGAAGGTCACTTTCAAAGTCTTATAACAGTGAATTCAACATGTTCAAGTGACAACTGCTAAGTTGCAATCCCATTCATGCCTTCAATTACCTCATATTGTTCGCAATTATTTGTAAGAAATATATACAAAATGTATTTAACCCTAGACTGCATTTAGAAAGTATATTCCAAAGTTAAAGCACAAAGATATAAATATAGTATTCATATATTCTTAGACTTCAATCTGTTTTTAAAGATAAAGACCAGTTATGGTCATGCAATTGCATTGTGAAAGAAACGTTGTGGAATCGATCAGAAAAGGTTGATCATCTAAGAATATAAGTATTGGTGTGTACTGCAAGGTTATGGAATTGTCAAAATGATAAGAAATTTGGCCCAGTCTTGATAAAGTTACATGCACTGTACACAGAAAGATGTATATGGGACTACCCCAACACGTGCGCGACACATGCCTTATATCTATCAGGTTCAAATAGATATAATAATTTACCAAATATATCAAGTAGTAGGCGGTTTCTCTACAAAATTTGTATGATCACGTACTAGTCAAAACATATTCTTTCACATGATTGGTAATAAGAGCTTCCATTTCATTATTTGAGAGGGAGGCGTTTCCAAAACTGGTCTTTACCTTTAACAAAAACTTTAATTTTCAAATGCAAGAGTATGAATTCCCTTTAAGCTCCACCCAAATAGAGCATTACACCTGGATGTGCACAATAATAATAATGATGTTCTAGAACAGATCATGTTGAGCTTGCAGTGAACAGTTAGACAGTAATGGGATAATTAGCAAGTCTAATTGAATTATCATAATTAATACATCCATATTCTTTGCTCATAAGGCTACTGTGTAGAGAGATAGACACATGCAGTATGGATACACATCAAATGCATGGCCGTATGTATTATCTCATTCTATCTTAGCCAACACTAAAGAGGTGGTCGAGTTCTGGTTAATATGAAACACGATTTTGAGTTTTTTCATTCTTTTTATGCCAATGCAAGAGTATCACAGAAAAAATATCCCCTGGAAAAAAAAAGGATTGCTATTTGAATGCCCTCCTATTCAAAACACGACAAGAAGGAGCTGCAATATGGTTGGACCCAGCTTCATACTACATATGTTTGTATAATCCCATATATATATTTTTAGGTGCAGTGCATGTAACCTTAAACAAGAGTGGGTCCATTTCTTATTAAGTTAATGATTCCAATTCCTCACTGGCAGTATACACCAATTATTATGTAGTTGTACATGTAATACCTAATCAGTGCACCCTTCTCTCTTTATAAGACGGGGTGCTTAACTCAACTTTATCTTTGATATTATGTTCGTTTCCTGTCAACATTATGAAGCTGTAAGGGTCATTGAGTGCATTCCAGTTATAAATTAAACAATTTAATAAATTATCAGATCATATACTTACATTGACAATAAATTGAATTGTTTATGTCATAATACAATAATTGTAAAATTAACCAAGCTAGAAGTACTCAACAATAACAAACCGTTTATCACTCCAAAATGTTTTTAAAAAATCAATATAAAAAAGGTCAAGATCCATTAACTGTGCAATTCATAACCATGTGGGCATCATGCAACATTGGAAAACTGACAAAATACATCCCACAGCATGACGTCAATATAAATATTCACTGAAGTCAGGAAGGAATTGATTATAAACAAAAAGGATCTGAAATGCCTTCAAGTCTTTAATGGTCCGTGACATCAATGAGTTTTATTCGGAGCGTGGAAGGCGAACGGCTGGGCAAATGGTTATTCATGACAAAGGCTGTTGACACTAATTAGAAAATGAATGGTTTAATGTTTTCCTGTAATGGGCAATTGCATTCTGACATAACTGGAGAAGTACAAAAACAAGAAATGTGGAAGGTGATAATTTAATGCCTGAATTAGTTGGCTTTTGAATAGCAATTGAATGTTTGTTTGCTTTGTTGCTGTTGTTTTGGGGGAAAGGTTTTTTTTTACAGTATCTTTTAAGGTACAATTTTATAGTGCAAAAGTAAGTACCGGTAGAGAAAAATACAAAAAATATGATATACACTAAGATATGTATTATACAGCTTGCTGTTAAAAACCAAAACAAACTCCACTGAATATACATTGGAAATTTTCCTCTCCCTTCCCTCCCTCCCTCCCTCCCTCCCTCCCTCCCCCTCCCTCCCTCCCTCCCCCCCCTCCCTCCCTCCCTCCCTCCTTAGTTTCTCTCCCTCTCTCTTTCTCTGTAGAACCCAAAACAAACAAATGAAGATCTCTAACCCTCCCTCCCTCCCTCCCTCCCTCCTTCTCTCCATTTCTCTCCCTCTCTCTTTCTCTGTAGAACCAAAAACAAACAAATGAAGATCTCTAACCCTCACTCCCTCTCTCTCTCTCTCTCTCTCTCTCTCTCTCTCTCTTCTCTCTCTAACAGCCCAGGCATGGATTGACTTAATTAGGACAGGGTTGACATTCACTTTGACTTGGTATTAGGGGTTTGTGTAACAGGATTATATGGGACCCAGGCTATAAGGGATTATTGGATTATATCTCTTACAGGAGCATGTCTTGTCTAGCTGTCGACCCACAATTTGGAATCATTTCCTCTGCGATGACTTCAGTGACGTTACCGTATAATAAGACCCACAGCGAACCCAGGCGTGCCTCGAAACCGTACCGCGATCCGTTTAAGAGTCATTAAATTGCCTTACCTGTATGTAACTTAAAATGTGCCTTGAGGCAGCTTAAAGAGAACTAAAGTGGGTTGAAAGAGGCCCTCTGTAGTGTGGTAATGCAATTTTATTGGTATGTTTAGCTTTGGGGAGGGTTGATCTACTATAGATGTAGATGTATTTTGTACATTAATTCTTATCCATTGATGATTTGCGTTGCATTAAAGGTAAAGACCAGTTATGGTCATGCGATTGCATTGTGAAAGAAACGTTGTGGAATCGATCAGAAAAGGTTGATCATCTAGCATATAAGTATTGGTGTGCACTGCAAGGTTCTGGAATCATCAAAATGATAAGAAATATGGCCCAGTCTTCGTAAAGTTACAATCACCGTACACAGAAAGATTTATATGGGACTATACGCACACGTGCGCGACATGTGCGTTTATCTCTCACAGACCATGTAGATAAACTAATTTACCAAATATATCACAAATTAGTTTCCCGGCAAATTTTTTATCATCATGTATTAGTCAAAACATATTCTTTCACATGATTGGTAATAAGAGCTTCCATTTCATTTTTTAAAATTGGGGCGTTTCCAATACTGGTCTTTACCTTTAAGGAGGACAAATAATATGAAATTTCACCATCCGATCATAACTATCTTGATAATCAGACCGGCGATTGGCTTGTAAAATTCATGGGATTCCTGACTGACCTAAAGGTTTATAATTATGATTGCAGCATGTGCAACTAAATCCAGGATTTTGTTTCAGAATCTGAGGCAATGTTACCGAGTCACTTTAAAGGTGGATTAAAAGTAATGTACAAGTAATGTGAGCAAGTAACTAATCTTGTTTGCAATGCACTTACCAGAGAAACATGTACTCCATTAATCCTACTGTTTTGCTTTTCCTGTTTTCATAATTAAAGGGAAACCCTTTTTTCAGTCTTTGCAGTGGATATTAAATTTCATTTTCCAATTTCATCCTTTTAGAGATGTCCATGGTCAGCACACAGCTTGTATTTACAGCAAGCTTCAGGCAAGTACTAATACAGGAAGTCATTCTGCTTTTCCTTTTTGCCTGGTCCTGTGTCTATCCGTTTTCTTCTTCTGTGAAACTGTTCTGCATGTAGTGTATGTAATATGCTGATGCGTGTTTTTGTGTGAATACAGGTGTATGTTTTTATTACTACTGCCTGTCGATTAATTTTATTCAAACTTCATTTATGTTTATTTATTTGTTCATATTTGTACAGGGTACCTCATAATAACCTTCTCTTTCTTAGAGGTACTTCTAATGTATTTGTTTCTATATATTCATTATGTAATGTTTTTTGATGGAAAATAAATTGAAATTGATATTGAAATTGAAATTCATATTGAAGTTGAAATTGAATTCTTTTTTTGTTTTAACTACAGTTGACTCAAAAGAAACAAATAAGACCAGCATGTGCACTGGTTGAATAATCACATTGCTGCTGAAAATGCAATGCTACACAAAGATCAAGTAAAAAACAAACAATTGCAAAAAACAAGCAGCGTTACTGCTACATCAGCAGACTCTTTGATGATTGCCTAACTGAAACTTGAGAAAAATGTGCATGGATTTGGTACATGGACTAGTAAACAATGCTTTGCATAATTTCATGTATTTGGAATTTTAAAAAAAATCACTTTGTTGACTAGCTCCTTTAAGAGCATCCAGTTCTGTGAAAGGCCGTTACTGGCCGGACACCCACAGCACAAAGACGGTACTATTGATGACACAAAAGATCTGTCGCTGTTCACAGAGTACATCATCAAGTTTCAAGGTATTCTCCACTCTCTGTCAACATCCGCCCCTTGCAAGTGTCTTACTCACGCCGAAATCTGAACCGCAGCTAATTGACAAGCCTATATCCAGCCTTATACCAGCAATACCATGCTAGATAAGTCATCGTAATTGTATTAGCTTTTCTGTTTTTTGGTGTAGCTAGTACCGATGGGGACAGGGTTTGTGGTCCTATCTTTTTGTTTTTCAGAATATTACAGAGTTTGTGTGCGATTCTTTCAATGGTAAGTAGTTTGGCATTTGCATGGTGTTCCATTTTTCATTATTCTTTCTCATCATGCATCTTTGAGATACTGTTGTTCAATGTGCATCTTGACCTAATAACTTTTCCATCAATGGTCTCTCTTCCCCACACTCTATCCAATTCATTCACGCTACCTCGTTCTCTCTCTCTCTCTCTCTCTCTCTCTTTCTTTCTTATCCCTCCCTTTCTTTCTTTCTTTCTTTCTCCTTTTCTCCCCCCCCCCCTTCTCTCTCTACATATATGTTTCCTCTCTTTACCCATTCCTCTCATCTAGCTCACTTGCCATTTCTCCACTCCAGCCTTCCTTCCCTCTCTCTTCCTCAATCCCCTCTACCTTCTCTACCTTCTCTACCTTCTCTCTCTCTCTCTCTCTCTATCTCTCTTTCTCTCCCTCCCTCCCTCGCTCGCTCCCTCCCTCCCTCCCTCCCTCCCTCCCTCCCTCCCTCCCTCCCTCCCTCCCTCCCTCCCTCCCTCCCTCCCTCCGTGTGTGTGTGTGTCTCTCTCTCTCTCTCTCTCTCTTTCTCATACCATTACAGCCAGCCCGAGTTCCCCCTTTAATAATGGCAGGGGAGGATAGAGGAAGGAAGAGGAAAAGCAGTAAGCCATTCTTAGATTTCCTGCTGACAGCCAAAGACTTCCGCTCCCTGCATCCGTGGATTCATGGATCACCAAACTTCCCGAAGAGGGTTTCCCCTTGCACTATGAGATACGGATGATGCAGTTCCTGTTCAGATTACGGAATCTAAATCTGATTCCTCTACTGTGAGCCTATGTGGTTTTATACGTTCGCACTCTGGTGGCACGATTAGTGAAAGTTCATATGAACTCAGAGATATCTTATCCACTGAGTTCTTGATACCATGTATGGCACAAAACAGTCAATTGTTATTCTTATACATAGCCCCTCTGTATGGTCTGGACTCCCTGACTGTACACTTTAAACATGACTGTAAAAACTCCAGGAGATACCACATACTGGGTAAATAAATTAATGATTTTTTTTTTGCTTCAACAAAATGAAATTTTGTCAAGTTTTATTAAAGCGCTTTTGTCATTAAAAAGCATCTGCATTTCTAAACCAGCATAAGTTTTGATAAAATCAGAACAGTCATGAATATGCCAATGAACAAGTACAAATACATGTCTACTCTAAAGCATAAGGGATTTTCGTACTTTGCATGTTTTGTCCAGATAAATCCAGATCACTCTTGCTTTATCTCAACTAATCTCAAAGAGATGGGAACAGCAGCATACACAATATGTGCATACATTATAACATGCATTTCATGTTGGCTACATTCTGTAAAAGGGCAAAATATCAAGAGTCATATACTATATGGCATGTCTGATAATTTCACATAAATCCAGATTAATTTTTATTAAGCTAGGATAATCCAGATGCAACAAACACAGTCATACACTTGTAATGTACGAACAACTACACTAATAGATAACATCGTCAACTGTCTCAGCTATAAAAAAAAAAGCAAACAAGTCGCTGAATTATATATTAATACACCTATGATAAAGATTAATACTTACAATATGTATGTGATTACTCCGATGGCCCTGTATAGGATGGGGGAAAAATGTGAAAGAGAGAGAGAAATAAAGAGAAAAACATAGAGAAAGGGAGAGAAGGAGAGAGAGAAGGAGAAGGAGAGAGAGAGAGAAGGAGAAAGAGAGAGAGGGAGAGAGTGGGAAAGAAAGATGGGATTGGAGGGTAAGCCAGAAAAAATAAACAGAGGATAAGGAGGAAATGTAAAGAAAAGGATAAACAAAAGAAACAAACGTTAATATTCATGTAGCCTACAAAGGTACACAATTAAATATTGCAAATTCAATTCATTCACAAATCATTCTGTTTGGAGCCAGGAGGTCATTGAATGAGTAAAATCATACAAATCAATGTCCTTCTGGCTCAAAACGCACAAAACAAACTGTATTTGTTCCGTTTCCATTCAACTTTTTAGCCTTTCATATCTCTCTCTCTGCCCCTCAAGAGCACTAATGTTTCAGCTGAAAATATTCTACCCTTGTTAATTCCTCCTGCGTTGTTTCCAATGTGTCTACCGTACTTCATTCACGGGGCCTGATCGCGACACCTGTCCCTGTTCTGGGTTGTCGAACCCAATAACACAAAAATTGATTATCGCATCGCATTTGACAGTCCCCTTGGCCTTAATTTAATATCTGGCTGCGAGTGAAGGGAGAGGGTAGGAGAGCTAGGTGCCTTCAAAATCTCAGTATAGACATCATAAAAGTTGATTAGATGCTATCTGACAACGCTTTGGAAGTGTCTGGTTTATTTTTATCTTTTTGATTCTATATTGGTGTAAGGAGGTTGTATCATGACATGAAGGCAATACCATGGACAAAAATATATTGTTATCCCTACTGTATGTGCATGTACTGTATTATAGAAGCATAGAACAAATAAAGGTACCTTTCAATGCATAGGAAACTAAATTACAAAATGAAACATGAAACTCCTACATGTATGTATCTCTGCTACCTACAAAGTTGAAAATGTAAATAAATTGCTGAATGGATTATTTCAATCCAGAAAGTCTCACATAGAAAACTAAATCTGCCGACTTGTCAATTATCACACTGTAACTGGGAAATGAAAAACATCAGTATGACTGACTGATATCGAATAGACATTTTCCTCTAAAAAGCCTTTTCAGCAAAAAAGGAATGGAAAGGCACATGACAGGGCATACCAAGCAAGTATCCGATTGGGGAAGGGGGTGGAGGGGGGGGGGGGGGGGTAAAGTAGATCCAAGTATAGAGGGCAAGAAAGGAAAGGCACCCTGGTCCCATGACCATGCACCTCCTTCTCTCCTAAAATATCAAAATAAAGCTAATAAATGAAGGAAAAAAAACAATAACAGAAACCATGCAGAGAGATTCCATCACATGCCATATTCATGCTGCTGACATAGCGCTTGGGTGCCTGCCTTTCATAGGCCCAGCCGTGCGTGGCCCATTTGAGCCGACCGACGGTGGCGATAACCTTTAGCGCCAAACGTCACATCACACGGACCGCTGACTTTGATAACAATGGGCTGTGAAGAGTCCTGTTCAGGAAATTTAACCGACTCAACGCTAATGTAAAATCAATAGAATTGGGGACTTACGGGAGCCGAGATTGACTTAATAGATTGATCCAGGGTTAAAGGCCAGTGTATACAACTCCTGTATAATACTACTAGGTCTGTATCTTAGGCGCCAGGAGAGCGTTAGCTCTGTGTGAAATATCATTGTAATAATGCCCTTCTGGCTCCAGACATGGTAATCTTTCAAATGCACTGAATGAAGAGAAATGAAAAATTAACTTTAAAAAGAAACTTAAGAGAAAAGAGAAGATAAGTGTGAAAATATTTTACAACTGGTATCTGATTCTCCTCTTTATTTTATTTTTTTGATTATATGATGAATCAGGGAAGCTCAAGCTCAAGTTTTTTTTTTTTTTTTAATGGCAATTAAACTTGCACTATATACACTGCCCACAATAAGGCTTGGCACAGACATTATTTTCTGGGTTTGGTGCAAGATCCAAGAGCTTGGTAAAACAAAGAAATCCATCACAAGTTAAAGGGTAAATACAGGCCCATTTATGGACCCAGGGTGCACTGGGTGCCATTTCTATTGTTCTTGTGTTCCGGAATCATATCAACAACAAAATCTAAACTTCCCATTCAGTAAATTATCCTTTCTTTGATTCAATAATAAACAAAAACGACTACCTTTAAGAGCAAGTGTACGAAGCGGTTTTAATTCCAACTGAATTAATACAGAAAAGGTCACCTGCATAACATTGCTAAATGGCTCCAAATCAACGTGTAACAAAAAATGTTGGGAAGCTTTTTGCTTTGAATTCTATTCTTTTTATAAACACCTACAAGGAATTTGTGTAAGAAACTAAAAAATCAATTACAGGATCAAAACGATCCATATAAGAATAAAGGCGTGGGCGACTATGCGGGATGCTTTGTGAATGTTACTATTAAGCCCATACATGCTGACAAAGATTCTATGAAATGAAGTTCTCTGGGAAAAAGTTCAAAACCAGCAGGTTTATCGGACAATGCAAAAAAATCTCCGAAAGAATAAGTAATGTTAACTGTGCATCGCACCCTCTTTCTGTTTAAAGTAATATATGAAAATTAAAGTTGACTATGATGATGTTACTTAATAATGTACAAAGTTGGTGCACATCCACAATTAAAAGCACAGGTTGTTATTATATACTTTTTTCTTCTTTTTTTCTCTCCAAATATTTTGTATATGGAGAGAAACATGCAGATACATTAACTTTCTGTCCACATACTATATACACACTGTACATGTATGGGCAGGTGTATATATATTTGCCCTTAAAAAATGCACTACCGTAGTTGTGAAGTTTATTTCAGTGATTAAGTGATTATAATCTACAGACAAAAAAAACTTTATTAGAGATTGGTTGTACTTGTACTTTCAAACCTGCTTTGCTAAACCTTGAGTACAATAGTGTTAAAGGTAAAGACCAGTATTGGAAACGCCCCAATTTCAAAAAATGAAATGGAAGCTCTCATTACCAATCATGTGAAAGAATATGTTTTGACTAATACATGATGATAAAAAATTAGCCGGGAAACCGCCTACTAATTCATATATTTGGTAAATTTGTTTCTCTCATGGTCTGTGAGAGATATAGGGTAGTCCCATATACATCTTTCTGTGTATAGTGCTTGTAACTTTACAAAGAAAGGGCCAAATTTCTTATCATTTTGATGATTCCAGAACCTTGCAGATGCTAAATGCTAGATGATCAACCTTTTCTGATCGATTCCACAACGTTTCTTTCACAATGCAATCGCATGACCATATTAGCTTTAACGGTCCACACCCTTTTAATGCATGTGTTACAAACATTATAAGTGACACAGTTACATGTATGAGTCATGAATGTTAATAAAAAGAGGTCTGTAAACTTTGTTTAATGTCTTCTCTCTTTGATATCACACTTCAAGATTTCATGCTGAGATCAAGAGTGTTGACTTTAAAAAAGGGTCCACTCAAATATGAAAGTTCTGCATAATATGAATTTAGAGAAACATGATTTCTCCCACATAATGCACAGTGGGACCAGAATTCGGAGAGTCACCAGTACAAAGATGAGGATTCAGTTGTTTTTTAATAACTCAATGCAAAAACTTTTTTCAAGCGTACTTTCATGAAACAATGTTTTTTCCACCATGAGCACAAGTGAACCCAAACATATTCAAACCTGTATTAGTGGTCACCTCTCTGTAAAGGTCACCTGTTTATAATGGCTATGTCTATTGTCTTCTTTGAGAAAGAAATGTGTGTTGTAGAACCTGTCTAGAGAGGCCACCTGCCTACAGTGGCTGTTTTTGCTGTTTTCTTTGGGTGGCCTTTATAGACACATTTGACTGTACTTTAAAAATGATACAGTACTTACAATTATCCCACTTTTACACTATTCAGCTATGCCACTATTAATTATTTGCATATTTATGTTTAATAAGCATACATATAATCCAAAAGCAGATCTGCTTTCAAAATGATACTAATATACTTTTAACACTTGCTCTGTTCAGCTATATATTTGTAATACTATATATATTCATATGACTTCTATTCAAACATGTATATGATCATAAAGTTTCCATAATCTTGTATATTACTTTTTGCACATTATAATCTGTGTCAATTCCATCCTGGAAATGTAATGGAATAATTCAATATAGAGAATCAATATAAAATGCTACTCAGCCTTTAATCCAACTCCCTTAATAATACAATCTTCACAGACAGAAATGACTTCAACATTCTGCTTTTGTTCGCATTTCTTTCTTTAACATGCCTGTTGAAATGATACAGCTCAATTTATCAGTCCGTAAATGCCAGAAGAACAGAGTCATCTTTCCGAAACATGAAAACATGTCAACAGTGACATCGGCAGAAGACAGAAAAAAATGCATCCTCCCAGATTAGAAGACATCATGAAACGTTTCCAGTCGGCTTTCCAAACTTGATTCCTTTTCCGCACCCTGTCTCAAAACAGACCTTCCCGGGATTACGGCATTATCCTCCGCAAGATCGATACCAAGATTTGTCCAAGTTTATTCCTTGATCAATCTGACCTGGATATGGTTATCTTGAATTGGCATGCATCAATGTGGGTAAACCCCCAGATTATGACTAATGTTGATGAGGATCACATGTTATGTTTATTCCCCTCCTGTGCCTAGCTAATGTATCCATGTTAACATCAGATTGTTCTTCTTCTTTAATGCCTCAGTTTTCATATTTCAAACTGCTGAACTGGGTCATAGTATGAGAATGACAATATCAAATGCTGAAATAAAAACTGACCTTATGAAGTACTCTAAAAGCATTGTAAGGTAAATTTTAAATGCAATGTATTTCTAATTTGTACTGCCTGTATAATTCACTTTCTACCGGAATGTTTTGCCTAGGGATCCAGAAAACCGTTTTTAGGGTAGATGCACCTCTTGTTGGCATAGAGCACTGGTTTGCATAGAAACACAGTA